AAAAATTATGAAGAAAAATCTAAATAAATATAATATAAATTCTTTCCATTTGACTGCATAGCTCTCTTCGTAAGACCTAAATTGCTATTTCTCCTTCTCTCTCTCTCTCTCTCTCTCTCTCTCTCTCTCTGACTATTGATATTAGGAACTGTACACGTTTAATTTTTAGAAAAATTTCAAGAATTTTGGTGGTTCTAGATAATTTCCTGTATAAAATATTTAGAATCAAAATTTATTTTCAACTAGATAATGATTTCATATATATATATATATATATTCATACATAGTCATATATATATATATATATATATATATATATATATATATATATAATCGTTGAAAATTTTATAATATTCAACCATTTATTTGTCTTATTGCGGAAGTATACAATTTAACAAATTATTCGCTCATATTATTCAAGACTATTAATTAAAATCATATATATATATAACAAATATATATATAATAAAAATATATATATATATAACAAATTATTCGCTCATATTATTCAAGACTATTAATTAAAATCTGTCCTATACTTATTAATTTAAAAGTGTTCTTAATAATAAGTTGAATCATAATAGAGAACTACTTAAGAGCCACCGCATTTCCAAAGCTGAATATACATCTGTAAAATATATTACGTTGAAAGTACTTTCCGAAATCCAAATTATAAGGTAAGAAACAAATTACAAGGTAAGAAATCAAGCTTTCCTCCCATAAGATGCTTTTTTTAACTACTTTGAGTAAATTGAAATAGGAAACAATTCTCGGTACAGCAGATTTTTTTTAAATACAACTTTTTGACATTTACTTTTTGACATGTGTCTCTTTGAAGCAAAAATCCAAAGAAAAGCTATTAAAAGATTTACAAAACCTACTTAGCTAAAATATATTTATTCGACAAATTTCAATATTATGTATAAATTTATGTATAAATGTATTATTTATGCATGTACATATTTTTTAAAATATAGTGAAATTTATTTCTTTTTATATTTTACAAATAAATTTTAGACCATTTTATAAACTACTAATGTCATTTAATTTAATTTACTATTAAATATAAAAATTAATGGAGAATAATATAATTTATTTGTAATCGAATAAAATAGTTTAAAAAATTAAACAATTTCATCTTATATATTATTAATTGTCGTATATTAACTTTAAAACTTTAATTCATATCTTAATATATCGGAATGAATATCGTGAAAGTAGTATTACTTATTATTAAATAATAAGGCTTTTATAATAAAAATAAATTTAAAATAGAAATTTTATATTAACGAAATATTATAAGTTAAATAATATAAATACTTTATACTTTCTCTTTTTTGTTTTTAACTTTTGATTACACTTCATTTTATATTTATTAAAAAAAAAGAAGTTTTTATTTTACTACACATTTTTGCCGAGCTTGTATAATAATTCAAATTGTTTTAAATTCAAAATATGACTAATCTTTCATATTTTCATTAACATAGTTTAAGTATTAAAATCTATTTACTTAGGTTAACATTTTTAATTGATTTATTAAATAATGTGGATAATATATCTTATATATATACACCATTTATAAAATTCATTTTATATTTATTTCTAATCATATCTATTATACATTATAAAATAATGAATGTGATAAATGAAGTAACATCTGCATTTTTAACAATTTTACGACCTATCTATATAAAATAAAAAGAATTAGTATAAAATCAATTAATAGCCAAGTATTATAAAGATATGGTATGAAATGATTTAATGTTTACGTAAGGACCTTTGATCGAATTCAATTGCATTATTAATTTAAAAAAAATTTTAGAATATTAATTATTATAAATTTTTTTAATTAAATAATTTTTAAGTAACTTTTTGGATTCATTCGAAAGAAATTCTGTGATAGAAATCGAATGTCACTTTGGCTACGTACATTTGATTTGCCAATACACTTTCAAAATTGTAATGACACTCAAATTATAAATAGGATTTAATTTCTAAATTCTATTATATATTTACTATTATTTACTATTATTGTATACTATTATTTAATGCCTAAGCACGACCTCTTTGTTCGATGAGAATTCTAATTATATTTTATATCAGATAAAGTTACAGATTTTATGATTTTCTAGTACAAGAAATTCTTAAACTCGAAGAAGAATAAATTTTTTAATTATTTAATTAATGACTGTGGATATTTTAATAACTGATTTCATAATTAAAAAATGCACAACCGTTAATATCATAGTAATATGCTTATTGAGTAGATGGTGTTACTGATAACGATCATTTTAGTGAAATTACATAAATTCAATCCCATGGAGCTTAATATTTTAAATATATTAACTCTCGTATTTAAATGCATTGATATGATTTAAGTGAAAATTACATATAGCTAATTTATGTAATCAATATCTAAATATTTTTATTGTAAATTTTATATAAGATAAAGTGAAATATATATTTAATAATAAAAATATTTTTTATATTTTTACTACTTAAATATACAAGATTATAGATATATATATATATATATATATATATATATGGATAGATAGATAGATAAATAGATAGATTATACACCGTGCAATAAAATTTTCATAATAAATAAAGTCAAATTAAACGTCCAAATCTACACAGAGTTTCATTGAGTAATTCTTAAAAAATTTCTACTAAAAATTTTTTAACAATAACTAATTCGAGTACTGCATAAGATTTACATGTGATTATATTTCATTAGTTGTCCATTCATGATTTTATCTTTTTTACATTTCCATTTTATGTTAATATGAGAAAAGGCAGGGTTACGTCCGACTGCACAAGTAATTCTTCAAATGTACCGACGTTTATCACAATTTCTCTTCTCGACAGTGAATGCCAAAAGACGTTTATGCATAAGAAATACTTCGTAGCATAAAGAGACGTTATTACAGTTTAAAATGGTCGTACATAATAACACACAAGTAACTTTGTTAATTGTATTTTAATACGTAAAAGACGTTAAATTTTTTGTCAATAGCTAGATATCATTAGTAAAATTTACGAGATACTGTTGCTGGAAAAATTTATTCTACTCATATTATTAATTTAATATTTTATATATGTTTATTTTTATAATATGAATTTCACGAATTATACATAAAAGGAGCATGTACATTAAAAAAAATTTTAATCTAAATTTCTAGGCTAAAAAAAAAATAACAATATGAGAAGTAACATTCTACTTGTGATTATGACTCCCAGACAAAAAATTCGATTTATGTCAGTAAAATACACTGCATAATTATATGACCTTATCTTATACAATTAGGACTTAAATCATGCATATAATATCTCTCAGAATAGAAATAATAAAAATATTTACAAAATAAACGATAACTTAGTTAAAATTTTAGAATAATAATGCATCAAATTATTCTATTGATAAATCAAACTAAATTATATGTATTATACCATAATAAGTAACATAATAAGAAAATATAATTAATTTTATTACACAATTCATAGAAAGATTAATGATATCTCGAATGCAATACCATAGTGATGATATTATTTGTAATGGAACTGGTATAGCACAAATATTCAATATTAAAAATTACTCATTTATTTTAAAATGGATAAAATATTGTCAATGACATTCAGCTGGAATTCACTTCCTGTTTAAGCTTTAACCTTCGCGAGTTAACGGAATGTCATCGACAGGCTAAGATCACGAATCAAACACGGAACAGAAAAACTTTAGGCCACAAGAATATTGTCCAAACAGTAAATTCTTAATAACTGTTTCAATAAATTGAATAAAAAGCAAACATTTAAGGTGCATTTATAAGTATTTCATACATATTTGTAATTCAAAAAATGCAGAAATGCAAAAATCAAGCATTTTATTTATTTAAGACTACGTGAGACATACGTATTATCATTTTTACGTATTATCATTATAATCAAAATTATCATTTTTTATTAGATTAAGAAAGTTTATTTTCTTATTTTGTGGTTAAAGTGACTTTGAAATTAATGTATATAAATATCATCTCTAAGTATCATCTATAAGTATCAATATCAATTTACACATATATAATAAATATTAATATTAGAATTTATTCGTACCTATTGATCCATATCCTTGAAATTTCAAAGATATTATTATTAAATGATTTTCATTTTCCTTGAAAATAATATGAGTAAAAATGATAATTACACCAAAATGGCTGATATTTAAATGATATTTAGAAGAAGAAAAAATTCCATTTAAATGTTAGATTATGATAGTAAAATCAGTTTCGTTTCACCGATGACAAATTTACGATTAAAATACCATTTATAAATAATCTCTTTCTTTGGAACAAATGAAGTCTCGAGACTTTTTTCCGAAAATTTATCGGAATAATATAGGAATTACGTATAATAATAATAATAATAATAATAATAATAATAATATTACTAATTGTATATAAGTTAAAAATTAATTAAAACTACAAATTTACGTAGCTTATCAATTAATTCATAACGGCTGTTTCATCCGTACAGCAATGTCGCGCATTTCTCGTTGCTAACTCCATTCTATCTGACGTTAAGAGACACCGAAAACAAAATATCATTGCACGAACGAAAGAATAAGACTGTATCTTTGGCATCTCTAATTCCTATGACCACTCGCTCCAAATTCCTTCATCTGCAAACATTTTAATATCCCGGATAGGTGATGTGCACACATAGTGCACTTGGGCTCGAGGAGGTCATGAGCAACAACAATCTACTGCCAAAGCGCGGTCGACAAGGCTTTTAGTCTCTACACACTCGCACGACAACGCCGTTCTATGTATAATGCAGGCTTAATACAAAGTCGATAGGACAAGCTGGAGGTGCGTCGTCGTCGTCGTCGTCGTCGTCGTCGTCATTTCCAATATGATCTCGATTGTCAGATGCAAAGTGTGAGAGACAAATGAAGGTATATTAACGCTACACAAGTAAGAACTTTAGCAATTCAAATCTTTTACCTTGTTCCTGCTTTTATACGCCTATGATGAATTACTCCGATGAACGGCAAATGGCCTTTGAAAAAAGTCGAAAGATTTTCCTTGAGATTCGCGGTACTTCCGATGTATCAATAATCCTATCCCATCGCTTTTATATCGTGAAAAAACGTGCGTCAACATTTTAAGTCTGCATTATCAAACTCGTCATTTTATTGCTCCAAAGACGAAAATTCCAGCCTCTTGAAAAATATACTAAAAATTATAAGGACAAAATTTTAAGAAATGCGTGATCGTTGGGAATGATTTAGAAGAAATTTATGATCATTGGCTTGATTATTTAGAACAAAGGCATATGGCTTCCAATCTCCAATGGTAAGCACTTAAGCAATAAAATAAATAAAACACGACTGTCCTGGACTAAAACTTGGAAATTTTTACTGGACTCTTACGAAGATATGTTATGAAATGTCAAATATAGCGTGTGAATTAAAGGTATTAAAGTAAGATTAATTACATTTGAATAAGTCGGAAGCAGTTTTATTTGTCTGCATCGATCAGCATTATTAAATTTTCAATCATTTTTATTTTTTTTTTTTTTTTTTTTTTTTTTTTTTTTTTTTTCTGTGAACGTTTCTGTGAATTTTGTACGCATTCGTGAACGAGCGCGCGCACTTACGTGTAAATTCATAAAGTATATTTATGCTGAAACGGAATATGACCATTTGAGCAAAACAAATGAAACGCTGTAATGTATAGCTATACTTAGAATTAGATATAATACGAAAATTCAAACAGATCATTTGCACAATTTACATTATTTAATTTATTCTACAAAGAAATTATCGAAGTATGCAATGGGACATTTGTCATTTAAACAAATTACTTTGTATAAATATCGTTAAAACTCAACTACCACGTAAATTAACAAATTATCTGTATATGTAAATTATACTTGTACATAAATAATAAAATGGTAATAATAATAATAATTGAACGGAATATTAGTGTAAGAAATGGGAGTTAAAAGGAGGCGGTAAATTAATTAAGTTGACACAATCTTGTCAAAAGACTTGAAATCTATTTTATCAATAAATAAAGCCTTTTATCCGAAAAAGCTTGGCTATATCATGTCAAGCGACACCCCACTATTCAACGGCCACATTTTACACTTTGCTTTCAAATAAGCGCCGTGGCATCAATCCCATAAAAAAGATCGCATTCATAATAATAGGTGAAAAAGTATGTCCATAAATTTAGCTTCGGCAATGCCATTTATACCGCGTGGACAATCTAAAGGTCAAAGCACTTGTCCGCGCTCTACGCCTTCTGTAATTTTAAAAGTCTCCAAACATGATAAAGCCTCGTTCGCCATTCGCAATTCTCCGTTAGGAATGCAATTTTGCTTTTCGTTGTTTTATGTACATACGAATATCGAAACGCGTCTCGCTCATAGAGAGTCGATAACATGAAATATGAGTGAACGGTTATTGTGGCAACACAATGTATTAATGTATCAGTGTCCGCTCACAATAATTTTACGAAACAGTGCCTATTGGCTTTTTGTTCTTTTCGTTTTTATTTCTGTTACTGTCATTGTTTCTGAATATTGAATAGCGTGGAAAACAAATCGCTTGATCTGCCAAGATTATTATTGCACGATTGATAAAAGCCACAGATGATCAAACTTATCGATTGAACAGCAGCGTACGTATAAGTAAAGGCGAGAGACTGTTTACTTTCTATTATCATCCTTCTTCCCACCCTCTCACCCGCATTCTCCCTTTCTCATTTTCAACACTAAAATAAAATTATAGATATAAAAAAGATTTAACGTTTCATTATAACAAAGTGGGTTCTTACTGTAAGAATATAATAATATTCATATTATGTAATTGATAAAACTGAAGGTAAATAGATGCGAACCACGTAAAAATTGACGTTATCGTTATTTCTATTTTTTTATAATTTTAATCGTATCAGAATTGCAACCTTCAATTTTATTTAAAGGTTTTATTAATATTTAATATACATTCCTTCGAACTTCAATAAATTGTACCAAAAGATTCGATAAATTGAATGAAAGTTCCTAAAGAATTGTGCCTTTCTTAAATTCCGAATGACATGCGTTGAATAAACTATTATTATATTTAAGCATAATACACTGTAATGCATAGCTCATATGCATTATCAAGTACATTTTATCATAGTTATAATATATTTTAAAATATTCTTGGCTAAGATTTATGTTTTGTATCTAAAATATAGAATAAACTTACATAAACAGTATAATGTCGTTTTTGCACGAGTTAATACAAAACCTATTTTATATCTATTGTAACGTAGTATGAAATTCTTTCTCTCTCTCTCACTCACTCTCTCTTACACAAACAGACACGCGCGAGCGCGCGCACGCACGCACGCATACACACATACACACACAAAAAACAGCATCAAACTATTATACCATTACTACAAATGTGCTAGTCAAATTAAAAATTTTATCCCTTCTAGATTTCCATTTATCAATATATTTTGTGACATTTTTACTATAATTGCTCATTTTTCACATTGTACTATGAACTCCAAAGCTGCATCGTCTCAGGAAAAATTATCTATGATTTCATTACATTTATATACATACAGATACCTCTCTTTTGTGAATAGAATGCGAATTTTTTTTAAATTTTAATCACGTCGTAGAAGTCCTTTGTTCGCTTATTTATGGCATGTCCACCGGACTTAATTACATTTAGCATTGTCCGTTTTTATTCAAGCATTTACAAAATTATATGCAATATGAAATTATAAAATTATATCTCTATAGCTTTTACGTTCGTACTTATTACTTGGCCCGAGAAATATTTCAAATTATTATTATTACAAATTATAACAATGACTTTAAAATCATAGTTCTCAAAATTTTGCAATGAATGTTTCGCAATCTCCCCCCCCCCCAAAACCCTATAAGAAAACTATAATTATTAGAGAACAGGTCATATATATTTATAAGCTTTAATCATTTTAAGCGCTAGTTGTTGATCGTAGATTTAATGATAAATTATCAAAAACATAAAGTATTTGTATCTTATTGTAAATTGTATAAAACAAAAACTGCTAATTATTCAAAATAACTTCGTGTGTACATAGAAAACTTTATAACTTCTTTTCCATAAATGTTACTTTCATTTTTATTCATTAGAAGTTCCTTTTCATAGAACTCAATACGTGTGCAATTTATTCCATGTATTCGTCAAATACATCTTTTTATGCTACATAAATTTATTTGAATTTCAAAAAAGACTTTACAAATTCACTATGTAAAAAATTTAAAAATTATCAAACATTAATTTGAATAAATTATAAATATGCAACTTTAAAATGGAAGAATATTCAAAAAATCATATGTGACATTCTTTGTACAGTTATATTAAAATAAATAATTGGCCTTATTCTAATCAATAATAGTTTAAACAATAATTAGTGATACAGCATAATCGTAATATGTCGATTAATTAATAAATTTTATTTGATCAAAATAAGAATGAATTAATATATAAATAATTCAAATAAAATAAATAGAAAAAAAATATTATGTAAACGCTTTGTGTTGACTAATCTATCTCTATTTAAAAGAAAGTAAGGCAAATGTATGATATTACTTTAAACTATTTTATTATATATATCACGTATTTCGTGCCCAAAGTTATAAATAATTATAATAATAGTAAATATTGCTAATGTTATTAAAATTTTATTTAGTATTAAATTTTAATTAAATTTTCGATCAAATTTCCTGATGTGTTTTCAAAGCAAAATGACAATTTGCTTCATTAATCGATTTCCCAACGAAGGTCAATTATGGAATTCGCTATCTGCCTACTTCAATCTATATTTTTTCTTGATATGAACACATTTGGATAGTCTCTTAATGTTTAAAAGCTATGAATTTTTTAAATATTGATTTTCTAAGAATGCTATAATTATTCCAATTTAGAAGTAATATAATCAATATCTCGTGCAATAGAATTTTGATGTAAAAAAAAATAAAATTATAGATATTAAGAGTTATTTTTGCGATATCCCTATCAAATTTCTATTCAATTTTTCACTCGAAATTATATCACCTTTTACATTCACTTCAAAATGCTAAAAAAAAAGTTAATCTAACTTTCATAATCAATCTTTAATGTATATTAAATAATCATTACCTGTCGGTATTTTATTATCAATTCATTTTATAATATGATTTTATGCATTCCTATACTTGCATGTTTAGGTATATCAAGCTTACATAATACACGAAAAATTGATATATATATATATATATATATATATATATATATATATATATATGCATGAAAAAATATTTATATGTACGACAACTTCGCTTTAAACATAAACATTAGCACAATTGCAACGCTGAAAAAATTCATACATAAATAAAATAAATAAAAAGATTCAATGGCAATGGCATAAAGTACGAATTCCTATAACCATGTTCCCTTCGTACATATGATTGCGACAACATATTATTTAAAATCTCATTAGTAGTATTGTATTTTTTCTTATATACATACGTAATTATTGATCCCTTTTTCACATCTTATCTTTCAAGCCCAATGAATACTACAAAATCATGCATGCAGACACGATTAGATCGCTCTTCGTATTAGAGATAGCTATGAGCGTCACAGACTCGCATAAACAGATTCGGTCCAATGGCTGTCCAACGAAATGAGCAGCCATGCATGTGTATCCGAATATAGTTAACTCAGCGTAGATATACAAATAGAAGTTGTATACATCAAGGCTGATGAATTCAATACAAGTATAGTTTCGTGGTAATGAATTAGAGATTGCAATTTATTTAAATTGTTGCACTTCATTTTGAAACTGATAGTATTTATATACGTCTGCATAAGAATTTATAAATGTCAATCGTAAAGCAACAAACTTTTTTTTTATAGTACTCTATCCTCACACATTTCTTCCTTTCTTTTATTTTTAAATCGTTATAACTGTTTACCGGTACTTTATAACCATTATATATATAAATATATATATATATATATATATATATATATATAGTCAGAAATCACCAGTGATTTCATCAATACAATTATTTTATTAATTTCATCATTGGCAATTAGCACACACGACATATAATACTAAAAACTAGAAAGCAATAATGTACTTCACCGCAAATAATTATACAATTTCAATCACATGGAAAAATTATTACTAGATCTAAAGCCCAAGAAATATCAATATTGTTCAATTGAAGATATTTGTAATTGTAGCGATTGATGTTCTATTAATATTATTTAATAAATTACTCGATAAAATGAATTCTAGTAATAATATAAAGATACACGAAGATTTTACAAAAAGTTAATTGATAGTTACATGTACGTACGGAAAATTGACACACAATTTACGAAAACGCTCTTTTTATCAGCGACTAGCTCTATATAGAGAATTCCTTTCGTTTGCTCTTTTCCGGCTCTAAATTTCTTTTACTCCAATCAGAGTTTGGTACAGATTTTTGTAACTCCCATTTCGTGATCTTCAATCACAGAGCCTCTACCCCTATATTCTGTCACTAAATACCGCCTTTACGTTGGTTATAAATTAGATGATTTGCTCTTTCATCTCATTTTTTTTTTTTTTAAGAGTTCGAAAGAAATACGTAAATAAAAGATCAAATAAAAGCTTAAAACAAAAATGGAAACATAAAAATAATTGTAAATTGCATTAAATAAAATTAATAGCTGAGTTTCTTTTGTCAATATTGCATGGTCAAAGTAATTTTTGTTCGTATAATAAATAGGTCTTGAAGAGTTCATCTAAGTAAATATAAACTTAAGCAAATTTTCCTCGCAAACTTGTTTATTATATCCATTATTAAGTAATTCCGATAGTATTACTATCTAGAAATAAATTATATGCAAGATTGTAGAATAAAAATACTTTTTTCCATACTTTCATTTGTAAAACAGAATAAGACCTAAATAATGACAGACGGCAGAGTTATTTAAAAAAATATAAATATAATTGCAATTACATTCTGATCGGAAAAATTTAACGAAAATAAATAGATTATTTTAATTGAAAAAATAACTTAATCAAAATTCATGTCAAACTCACCTTCTAAAAATATTTAATCTCAAGAAATGAAAAATATAAGTAGAGAAATAAATTTAACATAGATTAGTTTGATATAGTGATGATAATTAATGTCAAATTAATAATAAAGCTGAGAAAAAAGGCCTAAAAACATCAACTGTAAAAAATAAATTGTTTTAAATTACAAAAAAGTATGACAAAAAATTTATGAAATAACACAATAGATTAAAAATGCATAATAAGCTCTATCTTTTTTCTAAAAATAATTATTTTCAATAAAAGATCAAATAATTATTTAATTAATAGCTAACAATGATTAGATTGCTAGATGCATATTAATATCAGAGTACATATATTAATATAAAAGTGCATATATTATAAAAAAAATCTCATTAAAAATATTTTGTATAATATAGATTAAATAATCAATTATTCAAACTTATGTATAACCAAAGAAATAAATAAAACTTTAGCAGCGATAATAAAAAATAATCGAAATGAACTTTTTTAAAAAAAAATTAAGAAAAACGTATTAAATTTATATCAATATTCTCATACTTAACAATAAAAAATAGTTCTTTACATTTGTAAATACTAAACTGACACATTACTTACATTATTAAGAAATATTTCGTGATTAAAAAAAAATATACATAACTAAATGTAAATATAAATGTAGTGTAAAATCATCGAAAAACTATATGAATAACTTTGTACCTCTTTATTTCTTGAAAATGTTAAAAATCAACATATGGTATATATTTACTACTCATTGGTTCGATTTAAAACAAGTGACATCCTACACTTTTCTCAAATTTTTCCATGTACGTTGGTATCTTAGTTTCAACAAAATTAGGTGATAATTTATCACTAACATCTATAATTGCATTATCAACACAATTTTTAAATGCTGTGACCTCTTCTACACATTTAGCTGCCTTTTGATTATTCTTTTCAAAACACTTGAATACCTATTATTATAATAATTATTAATTAATATGTATTTATTTAAAAATCAAAACACTATGCCTAAAATATATTGAACATACAAATTTACATATAAGTTGAATATATTTGACAATTAAATGATATTTCATAATTTTGTACATATCTTGCTGGATACTTCTCCAATACGTATTGGAGAAACACATGTTGTTCTACAAATTATAATATATATATATATATATATATATATATATATATATATATAGATATATAATAATTTTTTTTGTGTAATAAATAAGGTTGTATATAAAAAATATATTAAAAGATTGTTTGTAATAATAGAATATATTTTTATAAAGAATTTGCTCTATAAATGAAACGCTAGATAAAGAAAAAGAATTCAAATAAAGAATAAAAGAACATTTCATTTGTACTAAAATCATGTCAGTATGTTCCATTTCAAAAAATTTTCATCTTTATAATAATTGGAAATATTTTTAAGCCAATCTTAATAATAGAAACATTAAGTCTTTTATATGCTAATACTCTTTTTTAACAAAATTAAAAAAATTTTATACAGAATATTGAAAACATTAAAATTAAAAATAATAAAAATCTTTAAACTGAATGTACATTTTTAATATTGACCTTTAATAACTATTATTAATTAATAATAAACATTGTTATTAATATTAATATTATTATCATTGTTATTATTCTTGTTGTTATCATTTTTTGTATATATTTGATTATTTAATATTCTACGTAATCGTTAGGAGTCCTGGATACCAAGAAATGTGAATCAATTCAGAAGAAGAAATAAGAAAAGTGGAAAAAATTTTTTGAATCTTATTTATAATATAAGTTTTTATTACTAAGAATATATTATTAATTTAATTTCATCGACTGATCTTGCTGTTTTTAATTAAAATTCATATTTAATTATCAAATTGTGTAAATAACATCAACAAAATACAAAAAAAAATATCGTAACTTATGACTTTTTATAGTTTCGCACATATCTCATTTTGTTAAATTGCTTTCTTAACGAAAAGTATATAATTTTTGTTTAAGCTTCATTCTAACCAACTCAAGAATAATTAATTTATTCAATTTTGAAGATATCTAAATTCATTTTTGTTTAATAAGTGTCTAATAAGTGCATTCTGAAACTGATTTATCCTAAAACTATGAAAATTAACTTACTTTTGCCAGATAAAAGAGATTTTAATATTACAAAGAAATATCTATTACAGTAATAATAATAATCCAATATGGATGGTTAATCTCATGCAATTATTGATCGTTTGCAATATTTTTATAGTTAATTCATTTTATTAAAAATTATATTATATTTGTCTTAAACATTTATTTAAGACTTTTATTCTTTTAAATTTTCTTTTTAAATTAACTTTTTGAATTTTGCTTAACTAAGTGTCAACATTTATGTAATAAAAGGATTAGATTTGAAATTAACTTTGAAATTTATCCTCGTAATTTGATGCTTTGTTATTTTTTGTTTAAATTAAAATAATTAGCAAAACAACGATGAACATTTTTTAAATGATATAAATCGACAAGTTTTATTAATAAAGAAATTAAATTGACATTTGCACATATTTTCTAATCGAAACTAAAATGTCTTCAATATATTTAGAATTATCGTGCAAACATTTTTTATATTAAAAACAAAATGCTTTAATATTTTTAATAAATATTAAATATAAATTTTTTTTACCAGAAAAAAGTTTTACTTTATTTTATTAATTTATCTTTTTTCAAAATTTTTTCAAAAGTTAATATAATTTCGACTATGCATGGATTAAATCCAATGTCGACTTTTGAAATTAAATTTAACGAGACGGGAATCATTTACACATTCGCCAAAACGTTAAATAGAAATATCACATAAGTAGTATTCTAATTAATTGATGAAAACAAATTAAAAAGACATTAATATTAATTTGAGAAAATGTAGACCTGCTCGAATATAAATCAATTTTATGTACAAAAACGACCTCATTTGTTATTCGCGAAATTCCTAAACTTTTAAAATTATACAATAACAGTTTAAATTTTTATTGTTTTTATTATTATTGTTATCACAGCATTATCATCTTTGTAATTATTATAAACGTGACAATTATTCATTTGTTCTTTTTAAAAACAGGTAACATGAAAATGCTTGTAATTAGAGCCAAACCTTGCTATTCGAAAATATATTTGGTATTGCACGTACAGTACAATCTATAATATATTACAATTATTAATTAAACAGTAACCGATATCTATAAATACTAGCCCACCTTTGTAAATCTTCCTATCATTTTCCTAAGGTAAACACGAGTCGATGCCTTGACTATAAAAGTACAGGCAATACCCCTTAAGATGCCGTCATTCGTCAAGTCAGAAGAACGAACGAAACGATGGAAGGAGTATTGACCAGGTGATGACAGCAGCACCTAGTGATCGCACACCAACACGAGACCATCTGCACTCTACGGTAATTGTTTCACGTGCCTCGAGAACGTAAAACCACCCGACACACGTGACTCCGTGCACGGGTAAGTTCTGGCTGTAGGCATGCACGTCTAGGTACGCGGCGCAAGAAATCTTGGCGCTACCAAATCATGCAAGCTGACTGGAAATTCTGGAAAAAGGATGGAAAGTGGCACTCGGAACTCTCGAATGGAGATATAGAATCCACCATCGGTGAGAAAGGACAATGGATCGGCAGCGATGACCGCGTCATCAACGCCCCCAAACATCGCAACGAAATCTGCACACAAGGATTTACAAACTTCCCTTTCTGGAGAGAAGGAGAAGGTATAAAGCCAAGGCAATTGCCGAGGGCCCACGCAAACCCTTTCTACAATGGTCTGACGATCGATGGCGGCGCGAGGAGAGGGAGAGGGAGAGGGAGAGGGAGAGGGAGAGAGAGAGAGGGAGAGAGAGAGAGAGAGAGAATCTTGAGATAGAAGATGATTGGATACCTCGGCTGTCTTACCTCGATCGCCTCTATAGAAACCAATTGTATAGGTATGCAGTTGCTCTTTTAAAATAGGACAACACGTACTTTCATAAAATTGATCATAAATTAATTTTGATGTGCAATAGCTAAATATTTGAGTTATTTTATTGAGACATTAATGTGATTTAAGCTAATAACGCGAAGAACGAGTATCAAACCAAAATCCTTAACCGCGCTAATGGCATAATAATCCGTAATCTTGTGGATCCTATATCATTATTAAAATTATTATTGTTCATGCACTGCTACTATATCATTCATATAAATATTCATATATTTGTCTTAAATACTAATCTTTTTATAAATGTCATTGTTAAATTGTATATAATTTCGTACTTGATTTTTGTAATCTGGACACGTGGAGGGGGTCTCGAATTCAAAAAATTTTCCAATTTTGCTCAAAATACGTGCTGCCTCAATCTCAGTGAGATTCTGTTTAAGCGTGTGTTTTTCATCCAATATCCTGAGCTTTTCACTCCACCACTTCTCGTAATTATATACACGATCTTGACTTATCTGGTCTGTAATGCATCAAAATTATAAATAAAATAACCATTAGTGCCTATAAATATTAATAGGTTTTTTTAAATTATACTTTAATATAATTACAAATACTAAACGTATCGGCGAATAATATATAGTTATAGCCAGAGTTATCAAATGCAAGTCTTTCCTATACTTATTTAATAATTTAATAATAAAAGTTTCTAGTCACGTAAAATGTTATACCTAAATAGCGTGTTATATGAAGTTTTCAAATCACGTTAAGATTTTCAAACACATAAAACACTGTTTTTTAAAACCATTGATTTAAAGCTTTATAAAGTGTAAGGCAGTATAAAACATAGATTAATGAGAGCTTTTTACAATAACCTAAAGGTTTCCTACAAGTGAAAAACTATTATAGGTAAGTTTCTAGTTATAAAAAAAAACGTTGTTTTCTTGTTTCAAGCTTATAAAAATTTTAGATTGCATACATGTTTAAAATTGTGTAAGATGATATATTTATTATTAATACTTATCCGTGTTAATACAAAAATTTGGATATTAAAATATGAAGAGATAAACGAAATAATTCCAATATATAGACAAACAATATTCTATTATATCTCGAAATACCAAGCGTTTGTGTGTATGTGTAGAAAGCGTTTTACCTGACATAAATACGCAAACATATTATTATTAGAAAAGTTTTTTTTAATTACTTTCAAGCCAAATCAATATTTTAATTGAATATCATATATTAATAGAAAATCTAATAAATCCATTTTTAATAATTACTTGATTTTAATCTCTCCTGCAATCCTCGTCCAATATCCATTCCACGAATTTGCAATGATTTTGCTGTTGTAATGCAATCATACCGACAATATCCTCCAGAATTCATATTGTAAACTTCTTGATATAAAGCTTAAAATTTAATATATTACTTAAAATTTTGAAGAAAAAAAAGGTAGAGCTCAACCGCTAATAACTATAACAAAAGAAATCACACATGAAAACTGTCATATTAAACAAAAGAAAATTAATATTCAATATTCTTCATAATCATACATCCAAATCTGAATATACATGAAGTTATAATTTATTTATTTATTTTATTTATTCATTGTACAAAATCATTTTCCAAAATCAGTTGTTTTATTATTATCCGAAAACATAATTATAAATGTTCGTATAAGACAATTGTCAAAATATAAGTTCCCATAAATCCCAAAATAGTTATTTTATTTAGTAAGAATTTATTTATATTTATTCATTCAATGAATAAAAATATTTGCAGTACTCATATTTTATGTATATAGCAACAACAGCTAAATATTTTATTGTCAAGACTTTTATTTTACTATAATTTTATTGAATTTATCTTCATTCTCAATATACGAAATTTAAAAATTATTTTGAATAAATAAAATTGAACATGTTTATATACAATGTTTTCTCTATTTATTACAAATAAACATCATAATATTACGAGTATTATTAAATAATATTGATATTGTGTATAAATTCAAACGAATGATTTTTTATTTAACTACATGATCAGTACTTACAGAAATGTTTGCATATTATTTATATCTATTGATATTTCCTCTGATGGTATAATATTTACGAATTATAAATTTAATGTTTAATGTTATTTATGAATACTTAACACAGTATGCTTTATGATGACGAATTTATACTTGAATATCATTGTAGATAAAAGCATGGCATAACAATCAACCATATATACCTCATAATAAAAGTTACACTATTCGAAAAGATGGGAAGAATTATAAAACCATGGAGGCGAGAGCAGTTTAGCTACTGTCAGGCGACGGGTTGTTTCAACTGCAATAGTCAATACAAAAAACAGCTACAATTTTTAATACATTAGTTTTTCTTTTCGTTTTTTGATAGAATCTTGAACATAATCGTTGAATATATCAAATTTTAGGAAGCAACGAACGAATGATATTCTAGTGCATGCCAATAATTGGGAATTTACAATAATTTCATAATACATCAAAATTAAACGCATACAAAGTGAAAAATAACTACGAATAAAATGATAATGACCAAAAAGTATCTTGTTAAATTTTAATTCTTGAATATATAGACGTAAACAGTATTAATAATGTTATTCAACATTTTACTTATTTTCATCAAGAATAAATTATTCACTTATGAATATCATTCAAAATCTTATATTTTAAAAAAGTTATAAAGTTTAGACTTATATATATTTTTCTAGTTCGAAATATAATAAATATTTATGCTCTGCACTGTAAAATACAATTTATATAAATTTTTCGATTTCGCCAAGTATAAATAAAACGTATTTAAATAATTATAATTTATTTTTTATAATTTCTTACTTCAAGATGGTAAAAAAATTTTCCTTAAATTATTGAACTCTAAAATGATTGTAAAATACAATTTAATAATATTTTATAATTATTTACAAATTAAAATAAAATTATAATAGTTGGAAAAATTGTTTTATTTTACATAATATTTAAATTATTAAATAATATAATATGAACATAGATTCATAAATTAATTGATAATAAATGTATAATTAATATAAAATAATTCAAAGTATATACTGATTAATTAATAATTGTCAACTTACAATTAATAAAACATAACATACTCGCATGTAATACAATACAAAATATTACATTAATTAATTAATATATTTTCAAGCAAATACAAGTAGAAAACTTATTTGAATATTTTAGAAATACAGAAAAATATGAAAATTCTTGATAATGACATTTTGAGTAATCGCCTGTCGATATATAAATGAAATAATTAAAATTTTTGTTATCCTGCATGCCCTAAATCCCAATAATGTTCTCCGTAATCGCCGTTTTTATTACCCCATCTCATCTAATAAATAATAATTAAAAAATATTAATACTTTATCATTAAAAATAAATATTAAAATAAATAAACACTTGATATTATTTTATTTAGGAATTAACATACCTTCCCCTGAAAATGGTTTTTATTAAAATTTCTTTGCTCAAATCGTTGCTCCCATTCATTAGGATTTTCACATACGTGACCAAATTCAATAATCATAGGGTCGGTTTGCTCAGAGAATATATCTCTATAAAAATATTTTAATGAATCAAGAATGTTTAATTAATTCGTAAAACTTAAATCAGAACGAAACTTACTGAAAAAATTGACTTTTATGAATAATGTCTATTAAATCTTTTCTAGAAAATTCAGGTCTGCTCTCACTTTCGATAAATTTCATATCTTCTAAAATTTAATATAATATTATGGTCAATTTAGCACATAACATAATGATCCTTCAGAAAAATTTATAAAAGTTTCTCATAAAATGATGATTTCCTTCATAAGAAAATAATGAGTATATAGAATGAATATTAAATATCAGTGAACTACTTGTTTCAAAATATTATTTACAAAATATTCGTATCTTTATTTAAGACCTTATATACCAATACTAATATTGCGAAAGATAAGAATATATTATTATAATAACACATTATATATACAAACTTATATAGTTCATGAAATCATTAATAGGATTAAGTAACAAAATTGACTGTGTGACCTATGAATAAAAAAAAAGTTTTAAAGTATTTCAATTTAATATGTGAAAAAAATGAAAAATTATTTATTAAATCAAAAAATCAGATAAACAGATATACGTTATTGAATAAACAGAAAATATTTTGTGCTCAATATCAATTTACAATTTTCTCTTTTTATTATAATTCTATGTAAAAATATGACAAAACATAATGCTATAACAATACTTTCCAGATTTTTGAACTGTTGTTATAGAAACAATCACTAAACTATTTATCTTGGGGGAATTTTTAAAATAACTTGTTTAAAATGACAGATATTAAGTGAGTCCAGTATTATAATTTGAAAAGTTCAAACAATACAATATATCAAATAAAATTAATCATAAAAATTCAATATAATTATTACCAATAATATTTTGGTAATATTCCGTAGAATTTTCATCCACGTGGTTGTAGATGTGCATGCGCTCACTTTCCATATACATTCTATATACTTTGTATTAAATAAAAGCTCTCTCATGCAATAAAAATTTATATATCACAAATCACATTAAATTTATGAATAAATAATGAAACGAAATGATTGTCTTTCAGTTAATAGAATGTGACGATTGCAATATATATTCAATTTTGCGTATTGTAATTGTTAGCAATAAATATAAAAAATATAAAAATATAGCTGAATAGCAAATTGATATATTATTCCGAATATATTATTCAATTATATATTATTACTAAAACATTATTCTAACCGAATAGTTGATAAATCGATAAATTATATGTTAATGAATATTGAGAATACAAATGTAAATGAGATAAATAAAAAATTAAAAAATAATTTAAACTTATATATATTTCGTATGTGACATATGAATACTCTTTTCGATTTTTTATATCAGATTATTTTTACTATTATTTGAATAACAAAAAAATCACAAAAATATATATATTATTCTGTTTTATAGATTAATAATTAATATTTATTTAGATTCATAAAAAAATTATTAAAATCATATAAAAAATGAAAAACTGAATTTATTTAAATGAATAATAAATAATCAGAAAGTAAATAATAATATAATTAATATTTATATAAAAATACACTGGAAAGCAATTTCATTCATAATTTGATTCATATATTCTATTCGCTTATTGTAACAATTAAAAGTTAATAGCACTAAATTTAAAATAGAAAATAATATAAAAAGAATTAAACGCAGAATAATAATTAGTGTTAATCTTATATTTTAAACTTATAAACACTTTTATATAGCACTGCATTTTAATATAACATCTTAATGCGAGAACTCACGCTTTCCTAATATTAATGTAAATGTAAAATACAATAGCTACAATTAAGATTAATATTTGAATATTGATAATATTTCTTATTATTATTTACAAATTTACAAAGCGTGTACATTGAGACAATTAAATATTTTAATTTTTAAGAACATTGATATTCTTTAATGAAATCGATGAGACTAATGAAATACAAAAAAAAATAATATTAATTATAATAATAATAACATGTGCCTATAAAAAGTTTGTATTGAAGACGATAATAAAAATTTTTTCTACGAAAAAATGTTATAATCTTTAATTCTTAATTATACCTGGGATCTGAAGACCTCCACTGTTTCGATAAATTATACCTCCAATAATTAAATTAATTAAGTTATTTATAAACATGAAATAGAATAAAATATATTTATAATACATTATAGTGTTAATATTCGATGTTCACTCTGTTCGGATAGATTTAACACTAGGCAGCATAAAATGAATGTTACCGTCTTGACCCAATAACTTTTTTGTCTGTCACGCTTCATCAAACACTCTCATGTGAAAGTGTTTGGTCGCAACAAAAAATTCCTTTGTCTCAGAATTGATTTCGTCCAAATATATCTTGATAAAAAGACAATATGTTGAAAATTGAAAGTTGAAAATTAATAACATGATATTTATTTTCTTTATAACAAGTGTAAAGTCTTCGTTAATTTACTAATTTTACATAAATTAACTTACTTATAAGAATAAATTTAAATACTTGAATAGCTGCAGTATATTACAATTAAAAATAAAATTAAATAATATTTTTATAATAATTTTCGTAATTCGTTTTATACTTAATGAACAAGATCGTAATAAACTTGAAAAATATTATTTTTTAATTAGCTAGCATAACTATTTCTCGCACATTTTAAAATAGATTGTAAAAGCTTAACAAATCCAGTATCTTTGGGCTTTTCTAAGCCCCGAAGCGCTCGGTTTTTCATTACAGCAACAAATTCTCGATTACTCAATTGCCCATCCACTGTAAATATAAATGTATTGTAATAACTATATTTTATATAAATGTTTTTGTAATAAATAATAAATGATAAATTTATTTACTGTTTTCATCGAAAATTGTATAAACAACTTTGATTATATGATCGGACAAATCAACGTGAGATACAGTTTTTGCAACGTGCTTTAAGGTAGCTAAAACAAGTATAAAAGTTGTTATTAATTATTTCTAGTTCTATATACATTTCATCATGTGTTTTTTTTTTCAAATAAACACTTATGTGTAATAAAAATTGCATATGATTTGGAAATTTTACCTGGATCAATTGATGCTCCAGCTATATGATAAAATGTCAGAGCTGTATCGACATCATTGATATTACTTAGAAAATGAAAAAATTTAAGATAATCCTCTTTATGAACCCCCTCAGAACTGTCCTTAAAACTACAAATATAAATTATAGATGTTTTTAACTAAAAATAGTTACATCTACGTGTTGAAAAATTATTTATTCATAAATGTTTACATAAATTTATTTTCAACGGTTATTCATTTAAAAACGTATTTGAAATATATCGAATATTTATTTATATGTCTCTAAAATAAATTTATACTTACAATTTCTTAACTCTCTTAATTATACGCGATTTTTTTATCTCTGTAAAGCCAGCATAAGCTAAAAGTAATTCGGTAAAAGCAACTTCACTGATATAACCTTTGTCATTGGGCTCCTTCCGCTCGAACTAAATTAAAATACATTAATAAATATGTAATTAATAATTAGCAAGTATAAGTAAAGATTTAATATAATGCATAAAAATGAATAAAAACTAATTTTTATATACCTCAAGACTCAGAATTTCACCCTGCAATTGCTGTTGAAAATCCAGGAACTTTTCAATTTTCAGTTTTTGCTTTAAATCAGATCCAAAAAAATAAGTCATTAGTGCTGAATTAACGCCCTAAAAAAACATTTTTTAAAAGATATTATTAAATGCAGAAAATATCGTAATTATTTCATCGGTTATTTTGATGATTGCGTGCATAACAAATTTTCCAAACTTTACGTAGTCTAGAATTTTTTTAAATTTTATTCTAATTATATTATTACCTTAAACGTATTACCAGTATTTGCATGGTCTCTATGACGATTACCAATACTGCTTTGTTGGCGAATTAAATTCGAAACTTTATTAAATTCTTCAAAATCTACATCACCATCACCATTTACGTCAAACATTCTAAAAGCTATTTCAAAATGCCGACGAGATGCTGCAATGAAAAAAGGTATGGGTTTTATTTTTAATTTATAAATTATAAAATGATTTCAAAGCTTACTTGATAAAACAGTGAGTAAAAATATATAATCTGAAAATGTTATAAGACCGTAACTTCCAAGTTTGTAGAAAATACTGTTTTCGCTTAACTCCAACTCTAGTTTTGTATGCACAGTCTGATCAAATTAAAATTTTCGCATGTTACATAATTTATATTAGCATTAATTATTTTAAATATTAGTATTTACCTTGGGATCATACCGTTTGTATTTATCCAATCCTAAACCTATAAAATATATTTTATGAATACAAATATGAATGATATAGAGAATATAAAAAATGTAGAAAGCTTAACAAATATAGACCTTACACATTTGTTACATTTAAAATACGAAATTTTAACAAAATTCAGTTGCCAAATAATTCATGCAATATTAATATTATATTATTCCAAAGCAGTTATCAGCATGAGAAGATAGAAGTTTTATCGGACAAATTAGAATCAAATTAAAGTTAATATGCGATTTCATGCAAAATGATTTATATCTGAAAACTAATTTTGTAACATTGTAAACTATAACAAATTCTTTTAAAAAAAGAAATATCTACTTTTATAAGAAGAACCATTAACAATCATTACCAAAAATTACTAATGAAAGCTTGAGAAATTACCCTGCGGCTGTAAAACACCAGGTGTCAGTGACCTTAAAAAATCATCTGGAGTCATCAACACCTCATGTGTACCATTGACTGGATTTATAACTTCAAGTGTTGCAAAATATCGAAACACTTTATCTGGAGTTGAAAATTGCCTTATGCGGTTCTCATATTCGATTATCTGTATATATCAATATTTATACTTGTTATCTCAATAATATTTTCAGTTGAAATAACTATTGAATTTTAAAAAAGTATTTATTCAAAATTAAATTAATTATTAAACTAGTCCTTAAATTGTAAAAAAAAAAAAAAAAAATCTTCCCCATTATAGTTTACAATTTTGCAACAAACTTGTTTCTTATTGGGGTAGTAGTCTTCATTACAAAATCTATATGTTTTTACTATTTTACACCATTATTTTAATTTATATTAATAAAAGATGTACGATGCAAAAGCAAAAGATGAAAAAATGAAATTACAAGTAAAAGAACTATACTGAAAATTTGTTTATTAAATAAATTTAAAAAGTTTAATTCTTCATATATAAATATATGACAGTGAATATGTGAAAAATAGAAAATCAATTAACATTTAATCTAATTCTGTTAAACTTCAGTATAATACTCCTTTAAGTTGTTAGTTTAAAATGAAGGAAGTACGTTACAATAATGATAATATGAAAGAAAAAAGGGCATAAATCAAAAAAAAAAAAAAAACGAAAGAAAAAAGTGATTAAGATAATCTGGAAACAACCCACGATATCCATTGTATTAGCATAAGTACAATGAATTCAATTATTCACCGTGCATTTTGTCAATAAGCTCATATAAAAATAATGGTAAACAAACTTTACCATCTGGCTGTTTCATGCCTGGGGTTATAGCTCTTAAAAAATCATCAGGTGTCATATAGGTCTCTGAATTTTCCTGATTCATAATTTTTACTGTGGCAAAATAACGAAAAATTTTATCTGGAGTTGAGTATGCACGCATCCGATTTTCATACTCAATTATCTGCAAGAACGCTCCAAGAGCTTCATTAAAACTATTAATATACCAAACATGGTAAAACAAATCATTCAATAATTTACATTAATTTAATATTTAATCATGAAGTGTTTTATTATAAATTATTATATCGTACTAATGGTAGATTACAATTTTACCAATTAGTATCAATTAGTATAAAATTCTAAATTAAATTTTACAATAATATTTTTAAAATTGATAAAAATCAAAAATTTATATTACTATACAACATTTACAAATTAACCTTTCTATCTCGAAATCCCACTTTATCTTTCTTGCTTTTTTTCTTTTTGATTTCATCCTGTTCAAACTCTTCGGTAATATAATTTTCCTCTTCATTTTCATTAGACTCAATATTTGCCGCTGCTTCTATACTTGGAAAGAAAATACTCCTTATTCTGAAATTCATAATTAATTATTACAAATTAATCATCAAGCTTATATTATATGAATATTACAAATAAAACAAAATCTATTTTGTTAGATATTATTTGGATGAAAATTTCAATAATTACTTATGCCAATTAAGACTGGTTATAATAATAAACGATACTGTCGCAAATCCAAATTTTTGGGTTAATGGGCCGAGTTGCTTCTGCCTATGTCCAAAATTTTTAAATGTACGTCGTGCTTGATAAATGCAAGCTTCGGTTCTTTTGCATTTGTAAATCTTAGTTGCGATCGTATTAATATGAGGTTCTTGTTTCATAAATAATGTGAAAAATTGTCTTCTAAGAAGCATCCTGTTGAATTTTAAGCTATATAGTGTTATATTAAATAAGCAATAAATTACAATAAAAACCAATAGTTTAACTTCAACTCGACTACTTAAAACTTATATGCAAATGATAAAGTTCTCCTCTTAACTTGACTCGATAATACTTTGGCGATAACATTAATTATTAACTTTCAAGATTAAAATTTATTTAAACTATAAAAGAATTTACACGGCTCAACGAATTCGACATTAAATTATTAATCGAATTTTAATCACTTTTAATGTACACTAGTAAAATTGATTAACGTTTACCTGACATTAAATGTCGGAAAATAATGTTCCTAATTTTTTGAAGGACAAAAAACTTGTATTCAAATTTGGCAAAAACTGCCCTCGTAAAGCATTGAAAATCTACTAAAATTTTGGAATATTTGGAAGAAGTCCGAAAATGTACGTGAGACCATAGAGTTGAGCTAAGCTAGACGGTGACCTGAATTGTTCCATTCGCACAAAACGTTTTAGTGTCGAATTTCTCGACTTCCCGGGCAATGAATTTTTCAAATGTTTAACTAACTCAAATGACAAATTAAAAACGGTACACCTACAAGTAGTAATAATGAAAAATCAATTTCGAAGGCAAATTTCTTTCTTAGTTCGTTTACGGTCCTTGAGTTATATTAAACATGTTTCTACCGATTCATTCTACTACATAATAAATAAGTGCAAAGCCGTATGTCAATGTCAATTTAGACGCATACGACAATTATTAAGCTCATCTTGGACTTGACTTCACCGATAATTGATTCCATTTTTCTTGACGCACTTATCCATTAAATACCTCGTGTCATATTTTACAAAACTTTTGTCTAACTTGATATTTACATTGGATGCCCACATTTTTTAACTCATAAAGAACACCCATTAAAGCTGTCCCATTAAAGTCTCGACTGTACGAAAATGTTTTACACCACAAGTTTATTAATAATACAATTTAAATTAATTTCAATGGTTGTTAATTAAAAAAATTTTTAAATTAATAATAATGTTTACAATTATTGTCTAAAAGTATTATTACATAATTACAATAAGTTAACATAATTATATGTAAAAGTGAGACAGAGAAAGAGAGAGAGAGAGAGAGAGAGCGAGTTAGAGAGAGTAATAAGTATTATATTTATTTATATCTTTAATGATTAAATCATTAAGGAGATATATAATAACAATTAATTGTATCGTTAAAAATTAAAATATAAAAATGAGAAAATATAAAATATAAAATTAAGAGGAAGGCAATTAGATATTAGCGTATTAAATAAAAGAATAAATACTCCAACCAGAATAGTTGAATTGCCAAATTTATCCATCAAAAATTAAAACAAGAATATATAGAATTAATTTTATCATTAATGGTATGAAAATCTACTTTACCAATACGCTACAAAAGCCATAAAATATCTTTGTTTTATTACTTTAAATTAAATCGAATAATATATTTCATTTATTTATTAGACAATTTTCGCTTTTAATCAATTAATTCAATATTCAAAACAAACAAAACTATAATTTTTCACTCTCTTCCTCGTTCATGAAAAATTTTATATTTTTACCGCTTAGATTTTATTACTGGCAACCTACGCAGAACGCGTCCTGGAATTAATTTTTGTTTTTATTAATTATTCAAACTTTTGATAAAATAGCATCTTAATCAAATTCTAGTCAATACATTGAATTATTAATTTTTATAATGATTGGGAATATAATTTGGTACCAATGAGCCTCGAATTACACGAAGCTATCTAGGTTTATTATTATATAATTTGCTGAATAATTACTTCATTAATAATATTAATTCCAAGATTTTTACTTAAATATTTCTTTTCAGAGCTTCTGCTAAAGGAATATAGAATTTGCAATTATTATAAATATAAGCATTAATTGATAACAGAAGTTCAGCAAATTTCCTGTCATTTTTTATATATATGTACATTTTGAATATCATTAGCAAGAATCTATAAAAGATTTTTAAAAAAAAACCCATCTTCAAACTTTATTTCTTCTAAATATTCAATTTCGAAATATAATATTAGTAATGTCAAAGTTTGTCGAAGTCAACTTACCTTTGATAAAAATAATTAAGTATATTTCTGATGAAAAAATCTATTTCAATACTTGAATTGATAGATGACAAGAATTATTAGAATTTACATTTATAAAAAATATTTATCATATATTTACCGAGTGTCAAATCCATTTTTCTTATGATTAAATAAGACTCAAGTACAAAGCCCAAAAGTATCATAACGGATTAGAGTCAAGCATATAGTTAGTTAATATTGCTAACAAACTCATAAAATTATCTCTATGAAGTTGATGAATTATTGAAATTAATTTTTCAACTTTATTATACTATTATATTTTATATATGGTTTATTAGAGTTTTCATTATCATAGATTTTAATTTGAATCACTTTATTAGATACTGTAATTATAATAAAGTATAACAAATTATTCCTAAATATAAAAATTAATTGTTACCACTTAACAAAATTAATTTTTTATATAAAAATTGTAATAAATTTATATTACAATTTATTATATTACTCTTAATTGTAGAAATATTTTAAGGATTTGAAAAGCTTAGGATTCTCTTAATGATTTTCATATTAAATAGTTAACATATATATATATATATATATATATATATATATATATAAATAAATTTTAAATATAATTCTGATTAAATTAAATGTATTAAATTTAAAATTAATCTTAAAATTATAAATGGATTATAATTAATCCATTACAATTTATCATAATCATCGGATCATTAGTGCGTAAAATGAAAAGAAATATTAGAAAATTACTATATATATTTATTTATATTCTATAAATTCTATAAACTTTTATAGTTTAATATTTACACAACAGTTAGATTTCTAACTTGTTAAGTAACAACACATAGATGAAAAGAAATCTTACTCTTATAAAATTGTTAAATAAATCATCTAATTATTTTCAAATAACATTGAATAAGAGATAAAGTTAAAATATGTTCAAAAATTAAAAGTATTTGTAGAAATAATATCTACTCATTGTTATAAAAAATAATATATAAAACTTTTAAAATGATAATTTTATATTTTTCTAAAAATTTAATTTATACTTGATATTTCTGAACCCTATTGCCTGTGACATTACATCAATATTTACAACTATTTTAATTTATATAATTTACATAAAAGAACTTCAATGAATTTTACATAATAATGTAAACATTTATCCATAACTCGTGTCAATTGTCTTTCGCTTCTTTAATATTTTCAACTAAATTTTCTGATTTTGATTTTGGATCCCATAATTCGTGTTTTATAAATCTTTTAGCAACATCTTTATTAATTCTTGGCATTTTTGTATTTCTATCATGAATTTGCTTAGCCCTAGCCATAGATTCCTTTAAACGTTCATTTTCTGCTTTAATTTGATGGTTCATCGGGTCGATTCCTTAAAAATTAATTTAAGTATATTAAAAACTAGGAAAATATCATAATTGTATAATATATTATTACAGAAAAATTATAAGTTTAATACCTTCTGCTCTCAGATACATCCAAAATAAACTATTCATACTAAATGACATAAGTAGATTAAATTTAATTTTTTCCATATTTGAAAGTTGTTGATAAAATTCTGGATTTTCTATGAATTTAAGAATTTCTTGTATTTCATCGACAGATACAATAAACTCTCTTAATCGATCAACAATGTCCGAATCATTTGAAAGTTCTTTGAAATCAAAATCCATGATGACACTAAAAAATTTCTTAACTTAAAAAATAGAAATACTTTAAATACAAATGATAAAAGATTGCCAATACATTGACAATTTGTTATGTACATTTAGTAATAGATAAAATCATAAAATACTTTTATAATATCTCATTTAGGTAAAAACAATTAAACTAACCAAAAAGTTTCATATTTAATATAATTATTAAACACACTCTAAAGCAATCATAACGTAAATATTGAAAATAATTTATTTATAAAATTGTTTTAAAAAATAATATACAACATAATTTGCTCGTTTAAAGCGAAATTTTTAATAATTACGCGTACAGTTATATATTTAAGAATAAAAAAAACTGCATTATGATTTTTTTATCCAAATATTATATCATACAAGATTTAATATTGACGATCGCAATATTTAAAAAATTATTTATCTTATACATTACCTTTGTAAAACTATTGCACTTTAAAATAAAATAAAGATATTAATAAAATTATTGATATCCAATCTATCATCGATCGTATTATAAATTAAATCTACATTTTGAACGTAATATACACGGATGTTTTACTCAACTTTATCATATATAAAATAATAAATTAAAATCTAATATTTAATTTTCTAATATATATTATGCGATTAAATAGCAAGTTGAACTTTTTAAATATTAAAATTTATATAAACAGATTCATTAATTTCTTAATATTTATTTAAACAGACAATATTATTGGGAAATTACTTCATTTCATTAGAAATTTTAATATTCCAATTATTTTCTAAGAATTTCAACATGGATTTTTATTACACATATGCATGCATAAAAATATAATATTTAAAAGCAAATATATTGTATTGCCATTATGCAATTTAAATTAACGAATTAAAAAATTTGTCGTAAATATAATTTAAAAATTTAAACTGCAAAATATATGTTTAATTTGAAATAATAAGCATAATAATTAATGCAATGTGTTAAATTATTCTTCTTAGCTTAAAAATAGAAATTAATCGGAAACTTTTTATATTAATAATAAATACTTAACTCTATAGATTTACATTTTTCTTGATCAGTTAATAATAAAAAATATTATGTGCTTTGCAAATCTATAAAATATCATAAGACTATTTTTGAAACATGACATTTTACTTCTTTTTTTAATTCAAATCTATTTATAATTTATTATTGATCCCAAAATGATAAATAGATATCACCATTTTTACTCTCCTCTACAGTTTATTATATTGAATTGACATTTTTGCAATTTAGATGGGAAAATTACTTAATATTATTATTTTTCATTTATAATATACATATATAATTAATAGCTAATTATGCTGCTTAAACATGAATTATTATTCTGATAAATTAACTGCAATTTTAATTAGTTGAAGTTTTTAGTCCAATCTTTTTTCTTTTTTTTTTATCGTTTTACAGGAATAATAATTCCCAATGAATAATAATTTACGAAATATGTATTCGACACTAGTAACTAACGTCCTATCTGTGACGTAAAATACGTGATCGATGATGCGCTCATAGCAATCATATGCGATCAATGCATATAATTTTAATGACCAAAATATTGATGGCAATATAGAGATTGATCATGCCTTAGAGTTGAATATTTTTTTAGTAAATTGTAAATATATTTCGTTATCTGTTTATATATTTATTGTCAGATATGAATGTAATAAATGCAATTAAATATTATGTTACGAAAATGACAGAAGAGAGTGGGCCAGGAATGAAAGTACTGTTAATGGATAAACAAACGGTATTTATTGCTTAATACGTGTACTCTTTAATAATGTGTATATAAATATTATTGTGATATGCACGCTAATGTGCACCCACAAATGCAAAGTACGTAATAATTATTTTAAGTTTTTTCTGTAGGTGAATATTTTATATTCTACGATGCATTCAATTATAGAAGAATAATATATGATGAGATGTGAAACTAGTGTCGTCTGAAATTGAAATGTTACTTTTTTTCTTTTACAGACAAGTATAATCAGTTTGGTTTTTAGTCAGTCGGAGATATTAATGAAAGAAGTTTATCTATTTGATCGCATTGATGCTGCTGTTCGTAATGAAGGCTTAAAACACTTGAAATGCATTGTTTTTGTAAGGCCTACCGAAGAAAATATTAGACTTTTGTCCGATGAACTTAGATATCCAAAATATGGAGTTTATTATATTTGTAAGCGCAATATGCAATACATATCCTTATTTGTGTTAATAATAATATTCCATAATGTTTCAAATTTTTGTTCAATAGATTTTAGTAATATTATTCCAAAGACAGACATTAAGCTTTTAGCAGAAAATGATGAACAAGAGGTCGTTCGTGAAGTCCATGAATTTTATGCCGATTATTTGGCTATAAATTCACATTTATTTTCATTTGGTATCAGTACATGCTCTAAAGGTAAACTTTTTGAGATAAATACTTTAAAGATAAAATATCGATATTAATTCACCGAAACAACATATTGATTCTAATTGTTTATATTTATCTGAAATATATCAGATACTTGAAATAATTATTTTAAGAATATTATTTATTGTATATAATATTAAAATTGTGTAATAATTTATAAGCGGATTGATACAAAATATAAATTGAGATTAGCTTGGAATATAATATACTAAATGTCTGTAATACTTCAGTTTGTTTACTTTTTAAAATTTTACTTTTTAAAATATGAATAGGACTGAATTGGGAAAAACCATATTTTGAAAGAACAGTGCAAGGGATAATCGCTGTATTATTATCATTGAAAAAATGCCCACTCATACGTTTTCAAAATAATTCCGACATGTGCAAACATTTAGCTGAAAAGATTCGTTATGTATTAAATCAAGAATCAAATTCCTTCAAATTCAGACAAGAATCGCAACCAATATTGTTGATTCTCGATAGAAGAGACGATCCAGTTACTCCTCTATTAAATCAATGGACTTACCAAGCAATGGTACATGAATTACTAACGATTAATAATAACAGAGTAGACTTATCCAATGTTAAAGGTATAACAAAGGAGTTAAAAGAAGTTGTACTTAGTGCACAACACGATGAATTTTATGCTAATGTAAGTAATGCTATAAATTTTATCGATTATTTATAATAACTCGGAATAATTAATTTCGATTAAAAAATAATTATAATATAATGTAGACTAGGTGCACCGAAGTATTTACGTTTTTTATAAAAATAATACTATTTCATATTCAAAATGAATTAAAGCACTTATTTTACAACTATAATTATTTATAGAGTGCGTTATATGTAATATTATTTATTAATGTAAAATGTCATTATTGTACATTGAGCTAATTACAGTAATTACAAAAATGCTGTAAGTAAAATCAAATATTATAATTTTAAAAATCGTTTAGAATTTATATCTCAATTTTGGAGAAATTGGACAAGTCATAAAAAGTTTGATGGATGAATTCCAAAAAAAAGCAAAAAAACATCAAAAAGTTGAAAGTATTGCAGATATGAAAGCTTTTGTTGAAACGTATCCATTATTTAAAAAAATGTCTGGTACAGTTGCTAAACACGTGACAGTGGTTGGTGAACTCTCTACACTTGTTGCAAATTACAATTTACTTGAAGTTTCGGAGCTAGAACAAGAATTAAGCTGTCAAAGCGAACACTCCACTCAAGTAATATTTACACTATATTAGTTTTATAATTAAAATGCATGAAATGTAACAAAATTATTATTCTGAAAAATTTAATTAATAAAATGTATTCAAGCATGATAACGATAAATATTATTAAAATTAATGTAAATTTCATTCTAGCTACAAAAAATTAAGAAGCTCATTAATGATAGTCGAGTACGTGACATAGACGCCACTCGTTTAGTTATGCTGTATGCTCTTCACTACGCTAAACAAACTAGTAATGATATTGCTGGTTTATATTCAATGTTAAAGAAAAGAAATGTTCCAGAAAAATATACAAAGGTAATCAAACTTATAACAATATGTAAATTATATAATATTTTTAAAATATTGATAGTCGAGTTACAGCGTTTCATAAACATCATACATACTTATTCACAAAACTCGATATTTTATGAATTAATTAAAATTTGAGATGAAAAAAAGTAGTAACCCTGTAATCAGTAGTAGTTATATGCTTATTCCTTCTTACGCAATATAGGTGCTTCATATATATATATATATATTACCGTATATCGTAAAACCAGTGCTATCGATAGTTTAACATATTTTTACATCATAGTTTATAAACTAATAGTAACTACATTAATAAAATGAAATAAAATTCTTTTAATATTTGTAGAAAAAATATTATATATGGCTTTTGTTTCTTAGCTTGTATATAGTATATTAGATTATAGTGGAGTTTCCACCAAACAAATAAATTTATTTGATCGTGAAGCTGTTGCCAAAATTACGAAAAAATTATTTAAAGGATTAAATGGTGTTGATAATATTTACACCCAACATACGCCTTTACTAACTGAAATAATAGAAGATCTTATTAAAGGAAAATTAAATTCTCAATCATTTCCATATCTTGGAAACACTGTAATAACAAGAAAGTAAGTTCTTTCAATCGAACAATTATTATCTATTATTATCATTTATTATTTATTACAATTGTAAGTATATTCTTCTCACAGACCTCAAGACATTATAGTATTTATGATCGGAGGAACAACATACGAGGAAAGTTTAGCAATTTATAATTTAAATAAACAAAATCCAGGAACAAAGATCATTTTAGGCGGTACAACAGTTCATAATTTTGACAGCTTTTGTGAAGAGATTGAAGCAACAGTCGTTGGCACTATTGCAAGGTATAAACCGAGAAGTGTTAGAGATCGAAGCGATTTTGATCATAACTAAAATAAATAATTTATTGCCTTTTCTATATATCTACTAAAAATATTTATTTGTGCAATCATTCCAATCACATATGTACATAAAAACTATCCTTTTAGCACATAAAAGTCATTATAATAAATGTTTCAACAAATTTACGGATATTCGTTAATTAATTTTTTTACCTAAAATTTGTTAAAACAAAACACATTACTAAAAGATCCTATTCATCGTAATCTTCTATATTATCATAATCATGATAATTACTCGAATAATTGTAATCATTAGTTTGAATCTGAAACACGAAACAAAAAGAGGAAATTAACACTTACACTATATAATAAATATAATTATTATAAGTTCGATCTGATTAAAAATATTATAATTTTTTAATTACAAATAAAATGCATAATATTTAAATTTAAAATTATATAATATATTCATTATAATTTACTTATATTTTACACTTAAAAAGATATTCATATTTAATATTCTATAGTTATTATAAAACAGAGTTCATATAAAAAATATATTATTTTTATCTTTATATTTTTTAAATTACCTGCATAATTCCTTTTGATAATGCAAAGCCAACCATAGCACCCGTTGCAAAAATTCCTGCAAAAATTCCTGTAAAAATCTGGTTTCTTTTATCAATATATTGAGTATCTGAAATTAATTTCTTGGTTTTATCATGATTCACATTCTTTTCATTGTTCTCCACTTTATTTTGAAAATATAAATCTAGTATCCGAGTGATAAAACCTACTAGATTCTCACGCTTTTTTAAACAGTTTTGCAAAGAACAATTAGATAATGGTACTTTTAAAAGTGGTGCGAGGTAAGAAAATACTAATGCATCTAATTTTGTAGGTTTTGTTCCAAAGAAATATTGTGATTCGCCAAGTTTCATTGATAAAGTTTTTATACATTCTTTAGCTTTGGTGTATATCTAAATACATATATTTGTTTAATAAATAAGATAATTTAAAAATCTAAAAAGATAATAAAAAAATTTATTATTAAATTTAGTTTATATTCTTATTGAAAATTTTATATTGTAGTAATTTTAAAATAATTTTAATAACGATGAATTTTGAAGAACATTTCAAATTTCTCTTAGAAATCCATAATATTCTATTTAACTCACAATAATAAATATGAAGGCAAAACATTTATAATATATTAAAAATGAAATGTAAACAGTTATAAGTACATAAAAAGATTAATCAGTACTTTAGAAAAGCATGGTCATAAAAAAATTCAAATAAATTATTAGAAATTAATAAAATTATTATAAAATATATAATAAAAAATATATATATGTGCAATAAAATTAAAAATATTTTTCTGCATTATTTAGATCATAGGTTAATAATATATTAAAAAAGTATTAAGAATAGAATGAAACATCAAAATAGAAAAATTTATCTTTTTTATAACACTATGAGTATATACATTCTAAAATCTTTATATAATTACAATTTAATATAAGAATTATCAACATTTTTTTTTGGAAAAAGGAAAATGATTAAAAATCATATTTGTTACATCTTTGATTGCCAATACAATATATTAATTTCTACAAATATAATACAACTAGCCTATTTTCATTATATACATTAAATAAAAATTTTATAACACTGGATAATATAATTCAGATTTGAGGAAACCTTGAAATTATATGATAAAATATCAAAGAAATTTATTATAATATAAATAAAAACTTTTTAAAATTTTTTATTAAAAATTTAATTAATATAAACTTACTAATGCTTCTATATCTTCTGATTCCTCTGTTGGATACAACGATTCAATCAAGCATTTTGCATTCTTTTCATATTTACCAGGATAATAATAATTACATGGAAATGGTAATGCTTCGCAATACCAAGGCCTTATTACTTCATTTAAATTTTGTTGATCTATCCACCTTAAAATTTGTATTTAACAAAATATAATGAAATAAATAGGTAGATCGTTAAACTAAAATCTTAATACGTAATACAACAAATTATAAAAAATTATTTTATTAAAATTAAGTTATAAAAACATTATATTATAATTTAATAAAATATTTTTCAAGCATATAATATTATTTAATAAGTAATATAACAAAAGAAATAATTTTAACAACTTGGAGATATCGCATTAATAGTATAAAAATAATATTTAAATATTAAACAATAGTTTATATTAATATTATACCACAAGTATTGAAGCGCAGGATTCAAACAATCTTCAAGCATGATATTATATGCAACTGTCTCTGGACATTCTGGTGAACTCTTACAATCTGTACAATTTTTATGTGTAACATTTAATATTTCATCCACTGTAGAAAATGTATTTTTTTTAAATGTTAATACAGGTAAGTACCCATTTGGCGTCTTAAATGGGTTATTTTTTGTTATGACAGTTAATGAAATATTATGAAACTTGGCAAAAGTCTAAAAGAAATATATTTTAGATTAAATCTTCATTTTCATTAATCTCGATATTTATGTTAATTTAAAAAATGGTTACTTTTAATGGAAAATAATTTTATCAATAAAACAGAACGTAACCTTTAAATGCAACAGGCCTGTTACTTACCAAAACCTTCAAACAATCAACATCAATAGAAGGCAAATTCCAATCGCCTTTCCACACATCAACTTGATAACAATTGCTCATTTTTTCTAAAACCTACAATGTATATTAAAATGAAAAATGATCAAATACGTAGTCAATAGTGCACAAACACTAAAAACTACTCTTTGTCTCGTATCTCTCTCCTTTACTTTTTTTGTTTAGTCAAACAATTGATTCGTAAACAGACAAAGATAACACGAAATTATTCAAATCCAAATTCAAATTTAAAAAAACAAAATTAGAAATTTAAAAATAATTGCAAATACTTATAGTCAGTCGTCCAATTTTTAAACCACATTCACTTATTGAAATTACCAGTAGAAAGATTGTTTCTTCAAAGCAGTTTTCAAATTAATAAGTCTACTAAAAAAATTTCAGTAATAAATATTAAAATAATTCGGTTAAAAATTTAAATAAAACTCTAATACTTAAAGTAAATTTGTAATAAATCAAATTAATTCAAATTTATTTTATATATATATGTATTATATGTAGAATATATGTAATATATTCTATATATACATGTATGATTTAAAAAAGTACATTTGTGAAAATTTTAAAAAATATTTATGAATATTTTATGTGATAAAATAAAATCAAACAATTTTTAAGTATTGAAAAAATTTCTTATATACTTGCAAATAATGACATGTTCATATCTATTAATGCTAACACATTTTATTGTAAATAATATTTTTGAAATGGTAACTTATTACAAAATATACATTTTATGACTTTTTAAGAAATCTATTGATCAAAATTAATATATACCATATGTATTTTAAAAAGTTCGTTGCAACCAGTTTTGTGATCTTTTGTACAATTAAATAATTTTTATTAATTCTATGTACATAAACTATATGCTATAACTATAGCATTTACATAAATATCATAGATTATTCATAGTATAAAAAACGAAAGATTTATATTGTGGATAATTAAGTACAAAAATAGAATGGCTATTTCTGTTAAAGTAAATAGTTCTTTATGCCTACTGTAATATATTGATGATTTTCTTTTAAGAAAACATAATATAATTAAATTAATTTAAATATATTTTTAGTGCAAAGATACTTCAATCGAGTACTATAGCACTTTTACATGGTGTGTCGATTTCGACAAAAATTAAATAATGAGAAATATTTCCTTTACATAGATATTTTTTAAACTAGTCGTTATCCGATTATAAATTAGGATTGAAAAACCAATCACCAATTAAGATGTTCAGATTTTGTCAGATCTACATTAAGCACTTGTAAAAATGGTGATACTTTTGTTATCTCACTAACATTGATACTCGTATTGCCCACATACATCTTGAGTATAGTATTATTAGTACGATTTCTAGTAGCCTTGATTGCAATATCAACAAGTTCATTATCAATGCATGTGCAGCCAGAAAAGTCAAGAAGTTCGAGTTGATGCGACTCTTCAATGAGTCTACATAAACCTGTATTCTTGAATCCAAAACAATTTTGACAATGCATCGTGCGAAGATTCACCATTTCAGTGAGAACTTCATCCGTGACTAAAAACAAATAGTTTATAGAAAGGTGTTGAAGATTTGGTAGTGAAATAATGGCTGCCAAGCCTTTATTTGTCACTGCTTTACAGCCTATAAAAAAATATTAAGATACATAATTCATGAAAGTGAATTAGAGTATTTTTAATATAACAAAAGCTTCATGATATTCTTTGTATAAATACTAATATACCGAAGGAATAATTTAAGTTTTTTGGAAAAATTAAGGAAAGTTTATTAATTTTACTAAACTATAATAGATCTACATACATACAATATAACGTTAATAATTAAATTAATAATCTAATGTTTTATATATTATATAATGTGTTAATGCAATTATAAGAATTAAACCTTTTTTATTTGATTGAAATATTATTAATTATAATGAATATTTAAATATCCATGCATGAAATAAATTAAATAATCTTATTAATCTAAAAAGACACATCGATTCAAATAGTTTAAATAGCTAAAATAATATAATTTAAATTTATTTACAGCTTATATCCACATTTTTTAGCTGTTTACATTGAGCTCCTACACCAACTAGAAATTCGTCTCCAACAGAAATATTATGATTAAGATTTAATGTTTCAAGGTTCACTAATTCTGCAATGCACAGCATGGCATTTCGTACAATCATTGGATAATAATGACAGAGACATAATACTTTCAAACTTTTTGAGCATAAGCTAATTGCTTTCACAGTCTGATCAGCAAATGTAATACATTTTTTTACGGAAAGTGTGTGTAATTTCTGAAGCCTTTGAATTGCCTGTTAATAATTTATAAAATATAATGAAATTAATTTGCATAGTTTTTTTCTTCTAACTTTTATACAAACTACCATAGGCACAACTTACAGTGTGGAAGTATTCCGGTGAAATATTATTACAATCATCTAAAATTATTATTTCAATAGATTCCACTGGCAAATTTAACAAGCATCTACCACTTATTGAATTTCCTGTAAGTTTAAGATACCGAAGCTTCTCGTTTTTTAAGAATAAATCGGACAAATCATTGTCGCATGAGGCTGAACATAAACCTAAACTGAATTCTGTAATATTGTGACAATTATCTGTTAATGTTTTTATTCCTGCAGATGAGACAGCAAGTCCTGTTATATTAATATGTTGCAAATTTGGACATAATCTAGCAACTATAGTGAGAGTACTTTGACTCAAATTTTCTGTAAATTTAGACAAATCAATGTGCGAAAGAAATTGCCCACAACGAAGCAAAACTTGACGAAGCGTAGCCGTATAAACTTCTCTCGGACCATTATTTAATATATCAAATCCCCAACTTGATTGTGACAAATCTAATTTTTTGAAGGTGCGCCACGATTCTTGACTAATTATTCGCCATCGCCTACAAACTAAAAATAAATAAATCAAGCTTCATTCGATCAAAATTAATTTATAAATTTTCATAATGTAATATTATAATTGATGGTTTACAAAAATCACAACAAATCCATTTCAAAGAAATGTTGTTAATAAAAAATTAAAACCAATTGTTTATTAGGGATATTATTTAGAAAAAATAAAGGTTACCTAACAATATGAATGTTAATAAGCAAAAAATTAATAATAAACAGTTACATTAAAAGAAATATAGACTGACTAAATTTTGGAACTATGTATATTATAATGAATTATAAAATCTTTCACTACAAATACCTCTTTCCATTTTTATTTTATCTATGATAGGAAGAAACATAAATACATGCATTAAACAATCATTGTTTAATTTATGAATCTCTGCATCATCATTTAGTATATAGGTGGTAGATATTTTTTGCATAGATTCTGAAGCTTTTTGTACTTTTTTATTTTGATTTTCAATACTGTCTGGTTGGTGCCATGAATCGGCTGGCATAACTCTCAAATCTCTATTGTGAAGATGAATTTTTTTTTTAAGACCATCTTTTCTTGCCCTAAAATTATTATCCATAGAACATTTAGGATTATTTATATGAAATAAGAAAACATTGATTAAACAATATTCTAAGTCTTCACGTACTCTAGAGCCTCGTGAGTACTCTTAAAAGTTACAAAAGCATAATTGTATTTGCAAGTATTTCTTTTCAAAAAACAGCTATCCAATTTTCCATACACCGAAAATAATTTTTCCAAATCTTTATGGGTTGTCTGCAAGAAAAATTAAATACATATCATTATTAAAAATATTGTTTGTACAAGAATATATACAAAAATTAATCAACTGCTAAAATTAAGCGTGCTAATTAAATTTCAATAGATAATAAATGAAAATTAATTTTATAAACTTACTCGCTGTGCTAAGTTGCCAATGAAGAGTTTTCGTATTGGCACACCATCAACGGTAAATGGTTTGATATTGTCGAGCGAATCTTTTTTTAAAAATCAGCCATAAAATTTTGTATCATTAAAAAAGAAGTGGAAAATAATACGATTAGAACTATTTTTTAAAATAAATTATTAAGTATTTATCGGTACTATATATTTAAAAAACTTATGCAGTTGCAATATTTATTCAAAGGATCTTTACAACTCAATCAATTTAATGATTTAATTATAAACAAACGAAGTAGATGATAATTAAATTTCTATTACATTGATGTTGAAACATAGTATAATAATATAATTACATGATATCATTAGAATGTAATTTAGATAATAGAACAATTTAATTATAGATCTTAATATAAGTAAAATAATTTGTTTATAAAAATTATACATTTATTTGAAACTCAATACATAGCTTTACAACAAAATATTTACTTTCGTACATCAATATAATCAACATGATGAAAAAAATCAAAATAAATTACCCAACATTTTCAGACTAAGAAATATAGAAAACACGAAAATATAAAAAAAACATTTGTTCAACACAATATAACAAAATTCAATATAAATTAAATATTATATTATAATTAAAAGATCGTCATCTTATCTGAAACTATAAATATTAAAATAAAATAATAAAAAATATGACAAACCACTTATGTTGTAAGACCATAGCTTATACAATTGTTTCTTATACCACTCTTCGCCCATTTGATCGATTATTTTTTAAGAGGGAAAACTTTTTAAGGGAAAAAAATAAATAATTTTGTCTATACAGGATACATACGCAGCACATATAGTTTCGTGAATTACAATACTGTGCGCATGCGTATATTTATTTTTACGGACATCCATAAACATAAGCATATTTGCATGCGCATGTTTATGTAGGCATAAGTTTATGTTTATGTAGGCTCCAGGCAAATCATTTGTTCATTTTCTAATATATTTGTATGAAATTTGAATATTTTCGTTAATATACGGTCAGCTTATTCATTCAGCTATATTATTATAACTTTCCAAATACCTTTTTTATTCATTAACAATGATAACGACCATAATAATAATAATAATAATAATAATAATAATAATGATAATGA